CTATTAGGTTGGAGGCCATCGCTATTAGGTTGGAGGCCATTGCTATTCGGTTGGAGGCCATTGCTATTAGTTTCACTTGAATCTTCGTCATACTTCGCCCAAGCTGCATTCCATGGGGGGCCCAAAAGCCCGCAGCAGCTCGGACCTGTCCTGCGCTCCTGCCCAGCGGAAAACAAAGATTAGCCACGAGGGCAGGATGTTTAGTGTTGCTGTGAACACCCATGGAATCCAATGGAACAAGGCTGCTATTTGAGCAGCCCCATGCCTACTCTTCACACTTTTGTTGAACTGCAGAGCTTCACATCCTGTGATTCCTTTGGTGGGTGGAGTGAACAAGTCAGAAGCCAAGACACTCTTGACGTGTTTCAATATTCAGTCTACATGTTTCACAAGGCTCCAGCATGTTTCAGCCTCTTTAGGCATCCAGTTGCATTTTTGACGGATCACCCATACACCAAGGTCAATAGCACATCCAAGGAAGAAAGTTTACCACACGTCGCCTCTGTAGCGGAGCCAAGCAGCCTGCCAATCCATCATGGAGACACAAATGGAATCATTCAACTACTTGGATTTTGATGAAGACTGAGAAATCTGCTGATAAAAAATGTGTGTCTAACTGAATATATAATCTGAATAGAGGGTCAAATGCCGTGCTAGGCAAGTCTTTGCAAATTCAATCCCCCAGGTTACAGGTAACATCTGGCTACGTCTGGGATGTGATAGAGAAATCTAGAGCAAGGCGAAGCCTGACCGGCTCAAGCATCTTGCGCTGCAATTGAACCGAGCAAGTGCAGATGCCATGGCTGAGTTTCAAAGTGCATCTGACACAATGGTAGACTGATGGCCTAAAAGTGGACCTAGGCACGCCGTGTGTTTTTTGTAGACTGATGATTCTAAACACATTATAATATATATATATTATATAACATTGGTTGTATGTCAGGTGTTCTTTGTCTCATCCCAGGTCATACCACTTCATGTCAAACATGACTCTTTCCTTTGGCAAAGAGAGCTGCGGCCGCGGCCGTCCCAAAGTGATTGCAGAATCGGCACAAGGCTCACCAGCGAGTCCCCCACGTCGAAAGGAGCAAAGGCATATCGCAAGGACCTGGAACCTGCAGATGTTGGATCTGATTCCATTTTCGTTTCTTTTGCACGTACTGTAAAAACATGCACTTCCTTACGCCTCTCTCCAGCTTGCAACAACTACATGCAAAGCTTCCACAAACATCCATTGTTACAAACCACGAGAAAGAACCTGTGTCTTAGCTCAACACATCACATCATCACAAACGTCGCCTGCATTGCCAGCTTCTCCACTGTTGGCTGCAAGCGTTCTGTGAGGCACGCACCTTGCAGCTAATTCAGCGAGTCTGAGCGATTCCATGATTCGAAACCGTTTCTTCGATATTCTTTCCGGTCAAACAATGCGCGGCTCGAACACGCATTTTTGTTGAAAATTAAACGCAACACTCCCCAGGTCCCCAGCACAAGCCATGGATACAACCCAGCAATCCAACCTGAGCGATTGCATCAATGTGCTGTAAACAAGCATGGCTTGAACAAGACACTTTCCACTTTGCAGCATTTTACAATGTAGCCCTTGTGCATGACATGTTTCTATACATTTGTTTAGCATTGCATACATTGACCCGATTGACCCTTTTCAGGAACAGCCAACTTGATCAACCGTTTGAGGAAGCGGCGACACTTCCGCCGTTGGCCTCACACAATTGGATGATGTGGCTTAAAACAGGATGCGTGCTTAAAACAGGATGAGTCTGGGCCTCGCTCCATGATTGTCTGATGTGGTGTATGCGTGTTCACCCACCCCATGTATCCACATGACATGACCCTCTCAGAGAAAGTAAAAGGTGGTGGCCTGCGAGGCGTTGCCGGATGCTGCCTCGAGTACTTCTGACTTCAAAGTGTCAAGCTTGTTCAAGCTTTTGAAGCAAACATGCTAATTCTTTCTCAACATATATATATATATGAAAAAGGCAAACACTCAGCATCCTACGGTGTTACCACCTCCTTGTGCTGCCGCCTGTCAACTGTGATGGTCGCAACTGACTTGCATCTGTATCAAGAGTCTTTGCCAAACAGCTTTGCTAGTCACATTCATGCATCTGCGCCCTCCTTGCATAGCATTTCCACATTTGATTAACGGAACATGCATGAACATGCCACCAAAACCCTCACATGTGACAGCATTGCAAAGCCAAAGCGATCACATCCAACCTAATAGCAAAGGCCTCCAACCTACTACTAGCGATGGCCTCCAACCTACTGACGGCCTCCAGCCTACTAGCATTCTTTGCATTCGAACAAGATTCAAAACAGGACGTGCTGACCCACGACGACAAACATCGACCAAGAGCTTTCCAGCAATGAGACACCTGAGCAAAAACTCGACAAACAACTTTGATGCATATCGACACACGCACACATTGAACCGATATATCAATTTAGATTTATTGAGTTGTGTATCTATAATTGTGATATAGATGTTATAGACATTTGTAAAACATATACAAACCAGCTACTGTATTATTTGCCTCATGACTCATGACTTGGTGGGATAATCTGAGGACTATGGGCGGCTCTGATGGCATTTGTGTGTGGCCGAGAAGCATCAGAGAGGCTCTTTTGCACCAAGCCAAGCCGATGTGCAGCCTTCCGGGGGTGTAAAATGGCAACCAGGGGAGAATGGCCGTCAGAATCCAAACTAATGCTTTCAGCATCCTTTAGCTATAGCTTGCTGATTTGGGCTTTGCCAGGTCTTGCGATCTGAGTTGCGGAACAAATTACCTGTTGCATCCTGTTATAGGTCGTCTGGTATCGGGTTTGAAGGTTTGATGGAAAACAATTCGACACAAAGGACATGTTGGATGTTCATGGAGCAAATGTTGCTCAAACTGTGTAGTGCCAAACCCAAATTGGCATTGTATGTTGGACGATAGTAGCTGACAAAAGCTTAGTTCAACCCTTCTCCGTGAGCACCCTTTGGCCTGGGAAGGAGGTTTAAGCTCCACCTTGGGTTTGCGGGAGGCACAAACAGTGTTAGCCTCCTTGAATTCTAACAACATCTCACAAACTTATCTGGATCTCAGAACCAAACGAAGGCCCCACCTTTCCTGACTGCGGACTTTGTGGGGAGCACAAACAGCAGCGGTGATATTGTCAAATCACAGGAATCAAGATTCACTCTTTCGAAAATTTGCGGAAGTAGCTGGCCTACCAATATCCAATATCCAGTTTCAGTTTCACGTACTCAAGTGTTCGTTTTCTTCGTAGGTTCTTTCTAACTTGGTCAGTCCTGCCCAACTTCCGTCTTGCAAGGGCAAAATGAGCAGCACTTGCATTCCCTGCGGACACATCTGGCCTTTGGAAAGCAAGCTGTATGTACTTGTAGTTCATTGGGCCACTTGACAAATTGCAAACGGATGCAGTAAGCAAACCAACAGCTTAAGGGCCCAAACAGCAAGGTGGTGATGCCTTAGAAGAAAAGACCCCTGTGCCCGCCTTCAAAAACATACACACACATGCACGTTGTTTTAGCAATGTCTTAGCCGCTGTCACTTTGAGTCAGTTTCATTCTGATTGGAGTTTGTTGGTCGGGTTGGTAAAGGCTCCGCACGCAAACGAGATATCAGGCTGCGCACGCATCGATGCCTGAACAAAAGAACTGTAAATCAATCAATGGCATTAGTGGGAATCAAGCTATTAGTAAGAAAGGGCATCGCTACTAGGAGCAAGAAGCTATTCTAGGCAATTGTTTTTTGACATCGATCTGGAAATGAAGTGTGAGGAAGTGCGTTGCTAAGGTCTTCGCAAGCGCCACAGGCAGTCCACAAAACTTTGGGCTAAGGCCTCAAACAAGACATTTGGCAAAATAACCCCTTGCAATCTCGCATGCATTTCGGAGTTCTCAAATAGATGACGTAAATACACTAGCTCAACTCTCGCACCTCCTCTTGCGAAGATCGAGAAGGCAAGGCACTCTGCCTTTGTGGAAAACAGTCAAAGAATCAAAGGGGCTCCAATGTGAACTTGCCCTCTCTATGGCATTTCTTGAATGGGTGCCGACAACTTTGTACAGAATTGGTCAGGCGAGCACAATCGAATTACAATGAAAACAATCTTTGCTCAGGGATCTGGCCAATCATGCAAAAGGAGAGATTGGTAAAGAACCCACCTGCAAACGGAGTGAGGTCACCATGCACCATGCTGAGTTTCTCGAAGGAGTCTCTCTTGATGCCCGCGGTCGATGTTTGCCGCGGCCTTCTGTGTATCGTCAGCAACTCGTCGGAGCGCCTGGGGGTCGGGTTGTTCCTCACTATCATGAGACGCAAAAAGCTCAATTAGGTTGTACTTAAGCTTAATTATGTTGAGGAAATTAAGCTTAAGCTTCCATTGGCTAGTTCTTGACTTATCAACACCATCTGACATGCAGGGCCGCCTGCATACATGTGTGAACCACATGAATGTTCATTGTACAGTGACATGACGGACCAATCGTATGAAAGGGCAAACTATGCTTGAGGGTAAAAATGGTGCCTTCTCAAATCTTTTCTCTGCTCATCGTCTAGGACAAGGCTTCTTTTGCCAAGCCTGGGCCAATTGAAGTGAGAAAAGGCTGACACACGCTGCGTACACGCTGCATGCAGAGGTGTATACAAGAAACAGGCTCTACTTCTTGGTTCTTACTTGAGAGTCAGCATACTTGAGCATGCAAAGGCCAATCCGAATCCTAATCTGACCCATTCCACACAGCATGCTATAACATGTTATACAAGGCTCGCCAGGGCTAAGCAGTGTTTGGGGACATCATTACAGCATGACAATGAATTGATGAACCGAAAGCCCTCTCCTCAAACAAGATTCTTGAAAACCGAACCTCTGTGCTTTCGCACTGGGTCTTCCCAGCATTTCCGCCATGCTGGGCACCACTCGGCTTACACAGCTGGCAAGCTGCTGGGCAACATCTGCCTGAAGCGCGCGGCGAAGCGGGTGGAAAATGATGGAAAAAATGAAAAAGGATGAAAAAGGTCTCTGCTTCAAAGGCTTCTTGCCATTCGTTTCGTGAAGTGGCCACAGCGGCTATGGCTCAAACATAGGATATCGCTGAAACAGATTGGCATAAGGATGCATAAGGGCATAAGGGAAGATCGACTGAACTCAGCGGGTCACTTATTGTTTCAAGTGAATGGATCTCGGGTGGGTACCGCGCTGAATTCAAGGAACAATCCGACAAGCCCTGCCCTGCCCTGGATATGCAAATGCAGACTTGCAGTAATTTCTGCATCTTCTCACCCAAGAACTCCATCTAACTAGCCCTTGCTGCCACTATAAACTGTTTCCTTTGCGCACTGAATGCTATTTGAAGGCCTTAGGTCTCGGCCTTGAACTGAATTTCATGTTTTCAACTTCGAAGATTGCGGTGTCTATTTTCATTCCAAGTGTTGCGCCACTTGGCCGCGGATTCGCTGCCGCGCCGCCTCGGACTGTCCAAGCAACTTGTTCGTAAAGAGTTGCATGGACACGTCGGTTTGGGCAACGTTGTCAATCTACAGTAACAAAAGTACGACTTGCAACCTCCACAATTTTTGGCTGGTCTTTCAAGCTACAGTTTCTCAGCCTTTCTAAGTGAAGCAAATTTCTCTCTCCTTTCCTCTATGGGGCATGGACTGACTCCTCATCGACACCTGCCAAGCAGGGCCAACCAGCAAGTCAAAGTTTTGACGCGTCGCAAAACACCGCCAAAGTCTGGTCTTTCTGTATATGTTCAATTGAAACCAATGCACATTAGCATCAAAACCATTCAAAACCTATCCAACAAGCAT